AACCCAGGCGCCCTTCATGCCGCAATTTACTGATTACACCATGGTGAGAAGCCGTTGAATTCTGCGACGAGTCCCGTCTGATCGCCTCAGAATATCGAGGCGGATTACAGCGCTATACGGATGTGCGTGCGGAGAATAAAGAGACCACAAGTCCTGATAAACAGAACCGATTTGCCACAGATTTACACTTACCCGATCCCGCAGGCCGTAATGATATTCAAGCTCAACTTTATGCGCAGGCACAGCTTTCTGTCAAGACAGAAGATAGCAGCAGCTTCCTTAGCTACCCAAGCCGCCATGCCAGTGCATCGGCTGCCATCTGGCCGCCTGCGACGAAAGTAACAGGATACAGGAATCAGAAAAGCATTATAGATCGGATGGACTCGTCGTGTGGAGAAGACTGGTCTATAACGCAAGTGTTCTATTCAGACGAGCTTCCGATTCACACGCCCTCTAGTCTGGGGGACACTAAGAGAGCATCGTTAATCTGCCACGGGCCGACCAAGAGCCATGACTGGAGTTCGGAAACACTAGCGATGAAAAGGGAGCCAAAGTTATATGGCAGCAAATACAGCGACGATATGATGGAGTTCATAGCAACTCAGGACGAACTCAATTACCTACAAGCCTTTGCCGATGGTGTCGGCGTGTGGATGGATTCACTCAATAGCGGCAACCATTTCACCCAGGTGATTCCATGGCACGCACTTAAATCATCTCTTCTTCTAAACTCCCTGATGGCGTGCGGCGCAAAGCACCTCTCCTTCAGCAAGCCCGGATTAGAAGACAGGGCCATTGAACTCTACAACACAGCCACAGCACAGCTCGTTCGAATGCTTCAAAACCCAGAGAGAAACGTCGTCGACTGCACAACGGCATCCATTTTGCTCAACGTATACGAGGCCATGTCGCATAAGCCCATACATCGAATGAGCCACATGGTTGGGGCAAGAGCCCTCATTCGAGAGTGCGGATGGAATGCTGCCAGCACGGGTATCCCGGCAGCATGCTTCTGGCTGAGCATCGGCATGGAAGTCCTATCCTGCTTGTCCATGAACTGGGCGGTAACCTGGCACCCTGACGATTGGGGACTCGATCTAGACTGGAGCCACGATAACGACCTGGACGGCGGCGACTCTCAGACGTGGGTTCACAGGTCGTTTTATATCCTGGCCAAAGTTGTCAACTTCCGAGCAACGTCCTTGACATATCCTCCCTCTGATCCGCACAAGCACCAATCCAGGCTCTCTGACCGTCTCACAGAGTGGCAGGCGCTGAAGCAGCTCTGCGACGACTGGAGCAACTGCAGTCCCAGGTCGATGCGGCCGGTTGGCTACTTGGCTATGAGTGGTTCAAGTGAGCCGTCGGCGTTTCCGAAATTTTGGTCAGTGGCAATCGCCGACCTGCATGTGTGCAGTGAGCTAACATCATCAGTCTAATAGGCTGGCGCAGACGTCGGCAATGCTGGGTAGAATATTCTATCACACGGCCCAGTGTATTCTCGCCCAGGTAAATCCAATAGAATCATCAGAACAGTCGCCGGAAATGAAGGAACTTCAGCTGCATCACGCTCGTCAGGTCATGGGAATCGTGGCAAGCGATCGTGATCGAAGTGTCATGACAATCGCCCTCCAAGCAGTCAACGTTGCCTTCTTATCATTGGTAAACCCAGAAGAACGACAAGAAGCTTCTTCGATTCTTCACGAAGCCCGGACGTCCGGCGCAAACACAAACTCAGAAGCACACAAAATGGCGTGCCAATGGCGCATGGCAGTGATGGAATTGTCAGAACTAGAGTCGGCCTCGGCGGTGTCACTTCCCTGCGAACAATCTTGGTTTAGGGCTGCAAACATGTCAAATTCCACCTCGTGGGAATTTACCAGTCACCAAAGTTCAAGGGCTGAAGCACCGATTGACAACCCTCTCGAGTCGGCCTATTTTGGTCACGTAGATCAACCATACAAAACGTGGTATCAACCAGTATGTGGGAATGATTTCCAAGCATTCGGTTTTGGGATGTAAAATGATTTGCACATTGGTGTATTTCAGGGAGCAACGTACATGTTGTGCAGCTTATTTCTTGACCGTGTTGTTATTTGCCCCCGTTGTATGAATCAAATTCTAGCTGTTTTGTGGCTGAGCGTCAAGCAGCATGTGCCATGCATAAGGTGCCTTTGTGTGAATCTCTGCCAAGGGTATCAATGGTTCTGTATGCGGTGATGCTATTTGTGGTAGGTCCGGGCTAGGACGACTTTGACGACTCCCCTCCTGATGTGAAATTCATGCTGTACCCACCAGTCTTGCCGTCCTTGACCATCTGAAAATTGTCGGTACTTAGCCCGAAAGGCTTCAATATGCCGTCGCCGAGCGTCTTTAATTTCCCCCACATTTCTGACATTTCCTTCTCTTGCGCGGCCTTTGTTCGAGGGGGCAGTGTCCTGAGTTGACTTTGGACTGTGCGCAAATCTGCAGCTCCCAAGCCAGGCATAGTCGATAGTGTCTTGTAGTCCTCCTCTGCACCTGCGAGGTGTTGCCAACCGCCAGCTTCTGAACGAGCCCGGGCACGCCGCAGCAAAGCCTTGGTGCGGATTCTCCGAATGTCGGCTTTCCTCGTTTCAAGGAACGAATTCTGGGGCGGTGATGGTGCAGGAGCAGCACGGGATGCACCGGAACTGATGATCTCGTCGTCAACGCCATCTGGGTCTGTGAATGAGGCTTCGCTCGATTCCTTGTCGCTTGAGTCCGACTTTTTCGAGTTGCTCATCGAGTTGCACAGACCCGGGTCTGTCTTTTCCAGCTCCACCAGTCCGTCCAATGCTTTGGAGGCAATCTTGATAGCTTCTGTCCACTGCTCTGTCTGTAAGTGGCAGGCGGCCATGTTGCTTTGAATAACGGCACGTTCATAATGCAGGTAATTGGGGCATGACAATATGGCATGCTCGTACTTGGCCAGTGCATTCTCATAGTCCCTCGACGAGTACAGGGCGTTTGCCTCCGCCTTGATTGAATTTGACTCGGCAACCAATGCCTTCCACCGGATGCACACATGCATGTTAGTATGTGAGGATCATGAGGCTGGCAAGCAGGCAGACACGTCGAGCGGTTCGGTTCAGGGTTGGGCTCACCTGCTCCTCCTCGACCGAGAACCTGACTATCTCCGGCACCGTGCCAACATCTGACGGGTCATGGCCTGCCGATTCTGCCATGTTCAGCGAGCGCAACGGAGATGTTACAGATGCAGAAGACAAAGGGCCGGGTTAATTGGAAAACCAAGTGGAGACTGGCGACGGAGGGGGCAGAGAGTGAGAGGAGTGAGAGGAAGAGAAAATGCAGAGCCTCTATCTCTCAGCTGTGGCCACAAGCCGGTCAATAGTGGAGCACCGTGGATTGAAAACTTGCATCAGAAAAGGGTACATGTGGGAGACACGCAACCTGCATTGTTCATAGACATAGACCGGAGGCCAGTAGACTTGAAAATTTTTGAATTAATTCGCTCCCATGTTATAAAGCCTGTTCCCCCCCAACTTGTCAATATCCTCGCGTCGAGACCAGCCGTTCGTCCCAACTTCCTACGTGGCTCGCTCCGTGAATCGGCGGTTCTGACCAACCTCCCTTCTGTAGATGCACGCATAGTCCTCCTCGAGCACCATGGCGCCTAGAACAGAGTAAGTGTATCACACCCTTGCACCAGCATGTTTTTCTTCTCCTTCTTCTTCGATACGCCTCCTGTGGCAAGGAGGGGGGAAACAAGCGGCGAATATTGGGCTGACACCAATCCAAGTTTCCCTCCTGTTCGGGCCTGTCTCTTCGACATGGACGGCCTGCTTCTTGACACGGAAGATCTTTACACGCTGTGCGTGAACCTCGTCTTGGACAAATATGGACGGCCCCCGATTCCCTGGTCCGTCAAGGCCAAACTCCAAGGTCGTCCCGGTCCGGCAGCTACCAAGATCTTCTCCGACTGGGCAAAGTTGCCCATCAGCACAGAGGAGTACATGGCCCAGCTCCATGTTTTCCACAACCAAGTGTTTCCGACTACCAAGCCGCTCCCCGGAGTCGTCGACTTGCTCGCCAAGCTGTCGCACCCGGACATTGAGAATGTCCACATTGCCTTGGCGACAAGCTCTCACAAGAGCAACTATGAGCTCAAAACCGCCCACCTGGGGTACCTTTTGTCCAAGTTTCCAGATGACCGCCGTGTGCTTGGCGATGACGCTCGGCTGCAACCCGGTCGGGGCAAGCCACTCCCAGACATTTTCTTGCTGGCCCTGAAGACCATCAACGACTCCCTTCCAGCTGGCGAGAAGCCCATCACGCCCGAGGAATGCCTCGTTTTTGAGGACTCTGTCCCGGGCGTCGAGGCTGGCCGAAGAGCCGGGATGAGAGTGGTTTGGGTTCCACACAAAAAGCTCAAGGAGGAGGTTGCGGGCAGAGAGGAAGAGATTCTGGCCGGTCGTGCTGGAGAAGCTGGAGAAGTAGACATGCACCAGGTTGGTGAGATTGGGGACGGATGGGCCGAGGAACTGACCACTCTGGAGGCCTTCCCATTCAAGAAGTATGGCATTGTTGTCCCTTCTTAGCAGAAAAATCTTGTTGCATTTCTTGATCTAGACTACTGAATGACATGTTCTGACGATATCTTTTTTTTTTTTTGCTCTTTCTCTCTTTTGGCAGTCTTCCTATTGTTACATCAAGGCATGCTGAGCATCCATCGATGCGGTGATTCATAACACATCCTCGACTCTACGCACCGTGAACTAGAAGATGTTTTGTACGACCATCGCTGCAGTGTCGATTTGGTTTAATTCTATGTGAGAAGCCAATATTTGATCTATGTCTTAATATACGTCAAAATAAGGTACAGTGTCAAAAAAAAAAAAAAAGGGAGGGAAAAAAATGAGATTCTATCGTAATACAGCCCCGTGTCTCCTACACAGTAGATCCCTTCATTCAAATAGACATTCCAATAAGCCTTGAACGGTCATCTCTGCCTCAGTCTGTCAACTCCCATAACCAGCCAAGTACATGGACCCTTGCATAGGTGGCTGCGTCGAGCCTGCATAAGCCGGTCCCAGCGACATTTCAGCGTTTGTGGTCAAAGGAAATGGTCCATCCGAATACTCTTGATTGGGGCATCCGCTCTGTGCCAAGGGTATACCTTTGTCTCGTCGTAACTGCAATGCATCATGGGATGCCTCATTCCCAAACTCAACGGCTCCCAAGTCCGCAACCGGAGCTGGAATGGGCGTCAGAGCACCCTCAGTGGCATTTCCCACCGGAATATATGATGCCGGGGTCGTCCCTATGGACGAAACGCTCGAACAGCCCGTGGACGCTGATGTCGCAAGTTGCGGCGCCCATGCAGCACTACGCGGGACGTTGAGATATGTCAATGATGGGTGCTGGTATTGCTCCCCGTGTTGGACTTGGCCTGAATTATGCTGGCCCGGGACTGAACGCGGGGGGCTATAATTTGTGTCATTCCGGGAACTGTAATCTGCCTCTTGTTTGCTCGTCAACGAGGCATCCGGTATCATCATTCCTCGGGGAGCGCATGCAGGAGGCCTGTGACAGCTGACAGCGGCAGACGCACGGAACTGTCGCAATTCGGTCTCCAAAGCCTCATTACATCGTAATAAATGCTGGAATTCTCTGTTGAAATCCCTACTTCGGAGGCGGCGAACCTCGTGCTCTAGGCGAGCGATATGTTGTTTGGTCCTTGCTCGAATGGCCCTCTGAGACTCGCGGTCGTTGGCTCGCTTCCGCTCAAGCTGAGCAGAGTTCAGATTCGATGCTGTTCTTGAAGCTAGGAGATGATTCAGACCGTCGTATTAGCCGCTGTGCCATGAGTTGTATGACGGTGGAAGCGTATTGCACTTTGTGTCAAGGGATGGTTCACTTTTACTCTTGGCTGTTCTGGTTCCAGAATCAGATGCATTGGAGGTCGGTGTTGACATTGTGACGACGCTGGCGCCTGGATAGTCTGCAAGTTCAAGGTTGTTGGCAACTTGGTACAGGGCAGGGCAGGCAGAGTGAGTTATTACAAGGAGCGTGCGGCGAAACCGACGTATGGCGCCGCATCGAGATCAAGTCAAGCAGTTCCTATGCATCTAGGAACGGGTTGAAAGCCAAAATAAATGGGCTCTGGAAATAGCCGATCCTGGGACGCGCATCTTGCCATGGTAGAGAGGGAGTAAGAGTCCTCTGGTAACCACGGCAAGAACCTAACCATGCTTTGTGAGATGGACCATTTAAACATGTACGCTGCGCATTGTCTTGTGAATTTTTTATGAAACTACGGCTGAAATTGAGTTCCCAAATACTCAACATGGCGGCACGACGGACATTCAAGCAGTACCCTACCGAAGAGATCGAGGAGATTGCTAAATTGCTTTATCAATCGTCTATTCACCGGGATGAGCCCGCCAAACCACCGGCTCATGCCGAAGCGAGCCTCGGGGCGTCCGCGCGATCTCGACGGGCTCTAGAATAAGCATTTCCCATGATGTCATTTCCCTTGGGTCTGGTTCGGCACAACAAAGTCGAAGCCGCAATATGTCTATACTCCATACGCACATGCAGGGAGCCCCGAAACGCAAATACTACTACATACGGCGAGCGTTCTTGTAATGCCTGGCGATACGGAACCTCCAGTCCGAGGTACCTCGCTGGCTGAAATTAGTGATCAAGGCTCACGCACAACCCGCGTCTTGACTTTTCAAATGAGTCCATGTCAGCGTTGGGGCCTCTAAACCCCACCCGTTTACGCCTACTGGGGTTAACGTACGGAACCTCGTATTTTAGAGTTGATCAACGAACCCGGTCACACAGACAGGTGAGCAGAGGTAATGACTAACACGCAGCTGCACCTAATACATATGCATACCTACATTGAACTAATATAACCTTGCACCGCTCTCGTTGAGCGGTATTTCCCGCCTCAAACCTGCCAGATAAATTATAGACATCAAGTATAAAGTGGGGTCATTCTCTCTCAAAATCTCAATGCTGCTCAGCCGTATTAATGGTAGTGGATCCTATTTCCTAAAGAGGGCATAGCGCAGCTGCGTGTTTTATCGGGTTTCTTTCCATCGAGCAAAGACCCAATGACAACAAAACTCGCCCTTCATTCCAACATGGTCTCACTTGCAAGCTAAGCCGTCGATGCAATACAAGCAAAGATTCCCCAGCACCCAGGTCCACAATGAATTTACCGAAAGAAGAGGGGAAAAACAAAAAGCACAAAAAGCACAAAAAATGGGTCAACTCTGTAATACATACGGAGTAGCCATAGGGCGTCCCGGAACACAGCATAATCGGAAGAGGCCGCAAATCAGCGACTCACAATTTCACAAACATCATCAGCCGAATCTATGTATGGCCCGATGCTCTTTTCGTAAAAACCAGCCGTATGGGGCCGAGCCCGAAGCGAGGAAGCATTTCGAAGACGTAAGGTCAACATCTTCCTGCGCCAGAGTGGCCTAACGTAGCATCGGCCTGAGCGATATACCAAGGATCTTCCAACACAAGCATCTTGGCGTCACCGTACGCTGTCCCGCGTTTTACAAGGGTAAATCCTTGTTTTCAGCGGGCTGTAGGGCCTTGGTTTCCTACTTGGTCACTGAAGATGCTTAATCGGTTAGCTCCCATGCAAATATCTTGCCCAGGTTCCTCCATCTTACAGATTATATCCCAGAAGTTACCGGTGACGGGTGGAGATGTCCGGATGGGCGCCGGCAACATCAATCGATGTCTGAACGCACCAGTGGGGCCGGGAGACATGGACTGTCTGATGCCATTATGTGCCGAGATTGCTCACTCGAGCCATGTTGTGAGTGTCTCGGACGGTTTGTCCTCCTCGCTCTTGTCTAGTCTAGCCATAAGTATCCGGGGCCTGCCCTCTGGTGAGCCGTTTGGCCCTGTCTCCCAACTGAATTTTTCCATCCTCATCAAAAGCAAATCCAGCATCTTTACCTTTGCCGTGAGACTTCGTGTCGATACCTCTGCACCATGTGGTTCAGTGCTGTTGCCGTCTTGTCCGTGCTGCCATGGCTGGCCTCGGCAGCACCCGTGACTGATACCAAGCCCAAGATTGACTATGATGCAATCATTGTGGGAGGCGGTCCGTCTGGGCTGGCTGCTCTGAGTGCCTTGGCACGTGTTCGTCGCAACGTCCTGCTAGTAGACTCGGGCGTATACAGAAACGGCCCTACAAGACACATGCACGATGTTTTGGGTTTTGACGGTACGGCTACACACCATCAAGTATTTCCGCCGGTTCAGATGACGGCTTTGCTAACTAAGAGGGATTCAACAGGTGTTCGACCTGCATACTATCGCTGGGCAGCCCGAGAGCAAATCTCCCATTATGACACTGTTTCCATGACCAACGGAACCGTGACCAACATCACCGCCCAGGAGAACAACACCTACTTTACCGTAACCGGTACTTACCAGGACAACGAGGAGAAGACTCTGACGGCCCGCAAGGTCGTCCTCGGCACTGGGCTCAAGGACCTCCTCCCCGACACTCCCGGTCTCATCGAGAACTGGGGCCAAGGAATCTACTGGTGCCCCTGGTGCGACGGCCACGAGCATGCGGACCAGTCCATCGGTCTGCTCGGTCCCCTCACAAGTGTCCCGGGTACGGTTCGCGAAATCCTCACTCTCAATAGGGACATCATTGCCTTTGTCAATGGCACCGACACCCCTTCCAACCGTGAAGCCACCGAGAAGGACAATCCTCGCTGGCAGGACTACCTCAATCTACACAACGTGACGGTTGAGAACCGCACCATTGCCTCAATAGAGCGCCTGAAGAATGGCTCCAACCCCAGTGCCGACCCCAGCCTGCCTTCGTACCCGGAGTACGATCTGTTCCGTGTCCACTTCACCGACGGGGGCTCCGTCACCCGGGCCGCCTTCCTAACCAGCTTCAAGCACGAGCAATACTCAAAAGTCGGAGAGGAAGCCGGCGTTGTATTGTACGGCGAGAAACTAGGCGTCGACCCCACAAAGGGTCTTGTCACCAACGTTCCTGGAATCTACGCCATTGGCGACTGCAACTCAGACAATTCGACCAATGTGCCGCATGCGTTGTACAGCGGGAAGCGGACCGCCGTCTTTTTACATGGTGAGCATGCCCGCCCTCCTCTGCAGAAATTCGGAATGAAGGAAAAGTACTAACTCATCGGGGTGACAGTGCAATTAGAAAGGGAGACTGCCAACGCGGAGCTGGCTGGCTTGAACAAGACATTGCATGCACGAAGTCTTCACGAGGAGGTTCGTTCTCTTTGGGATCACATGAACGGCGGCAAGGACGACTTGTTGTACGCCGGGCCTTTCGAGCAATAAATTTTTTGCACGTGGGCTTTTTGTATATGATATGACACGACATTGTTAGTTACAGGTGCCCAGTACCAAGGTGGAATTTGGCATTTTAACCTATAAATCAGCGTAATGAGATTTTTTGACTTATGAATCCTGAATGTCAAGGCTCATGCCTCCTGGAATGCGAGGTTGGGTCTGTTTCGTTTTTATTGTTTTACTAATTGCTTACCCACATCGATTGATGATTGCAATGCAAACTAGATGGTCGACTGCTGAGATGCTCACACTTTCTGTATCCGTCTCTGGTGAAAGGTCTTGCGAGACCAGTTACCCTGAAGCAGAATACAGCAAAAGGTCGGTGACGTCACAAGGTGCCCTCATCTGAACGCGGGGCGCAGCGTTTGAACTCTGTCTGGAAACTGCTGCCACTTCTAAGCTGCCGCACACTGGTTGTCTATTTCGTTCGCCGAGGGCGACTTTCTCTCTTAAGTAAGATCTAATAGACTAAAGCAGTTGATCCCCGGTTCCTTGTACGTGCGGGGAATCTATCGGCCCAAAATTGCCAAACAAACAAGCTCTTGGTCTTGGTGCCTACCAACACAAGCTCCAGGTCAACTAGTCTCGTGGACAAGAAGACGGCCAAACAACGGCACCATGGCAGACTCCCAATTCTTCTCACTTACCAAAACCCTCCTTTCATCCGACGCCGCTGGCTTCCGGCAGGCTACCCAGTCGACCTTTCTCCAGCGAGCAGCCGAGGGCAAGGTCCCCAAAGACACTCTGGGGCAATGGCTCGCCAACGACCGCCTCTACATCTTGGGATACATCCGAGGAATCGGCAAGACGCTAAGCTTCCTGCCCCTCCCGGAAACGGTGCCGCCGCCGTCACAAGGCAGCAGAGAAACAGCTACCACCCGTCTCCTAGACTGGCTCATCGACGCCGCGGCCAACATCCGCCGTGAAGAAAAGTTCTTTGTCGACACGGCACGCAAGTTCGGCATCAGCGTCAACCTGCCCGCCGACGAGGACGGCCACGTCCCCGACAGCGCCAAGCTGGAAGGCCTGCGGCGCTTCGAAGCTCTCTTTGGCGGACTTGGCCCCAGCGCCAGCGCGACCCTGCCGTGGCTAGAGTGCGCCGTCGTCTTCTACGGGACGGAGAAGTGCTATCTGGAGGCGTGGACGTGGGCCAGGAACCGCCAGCCCGAGCTGGGTGAGCTGGAGGGCGGAGATGCCGATGGCGGGGCCTTGCGCACCGAGTTTATTCCAAACTGGACTGGCACCGAGTTTGCTGCCTTTGTCGACCAGCTTGGCAAGATCGTGGACGATGCCGTTGTGGAGTGCACCAGAGGCGCGGGAGACGAGGTTAGAAATGAGCTTGTTGAGCGGTCGTTGGCCAAGTGGCGAGAGCTGCTGGCGGCCGAGAAGGCTTTCTGGCCGGCAATGGAATGATGATGGTACGTGCCCTGTCGTGTGCTTAATCATGCACGGTGCCTGGAAATGGCTGTGAGGCTTTGGAAACAAGCCGGAGATGATGTGATGGTGGCCTGCATCATGAAGGGAGGGGCGCCAGGCGCCAATTCTACTCCGCGGTTCCTTGGAGTGGACGGCTGAGCGGATATGCTTGGCGTCTTGGCGTCGAGGTTTCCTTTTAATGTTCCCCCCCAGGACGACGCACGGGTTTTCAGGCACGGCCTGTATCTTGTAATCTCGAGTCTTTCTGTCCTGTTTGCGAATCGTCATCTGACGAGTGTGCCAGTGTACTGCTTGCAGAGAGAACAACACAGCTGTAGATCTGGAACTGCTGTTTCCCCCACTTTATCTCTTGTTTCTTTTAAGTTGTGCTAGTGTGCCTCGGCTTGTTCTTACCATGCCAAGCACGCAAAGTCACCTAGGTCGTATGGCCAGTACTACCACTCCCAAGGCTCATATTACACATGTATGGAACTTATTCGCCGGGACTGCCGGGGTAAAGTGGCATGTGCATACTTACACAAAGGGGACGGACCATTGACACATTTGGGGGTGCATCACGACAGACGCTTCAGTGTGTCGGCGATGATTGCAGGCCAGGCTTGGAGCTGTGTGCTGCAGCAGCGGGCATAATAATAATAGTAATATCGGACGCGGTGCTTCCTCCGCCGGTTTAGCGGCACGCTTATTCAGGATTAGCGCTAATAGATAGATCTACTTATCATATTACTAATTAGCTTATACCACTTTATATTATATAGTTTTTTATTTTTAACTTAAATTCTAGACTTTAATCTCCTTTTATTTGTACTTTTTTTTCTTATTAATAAATTATACCTCTATAAAATTATACTTTTCAACTAATCTCGCTAAAGTCACCTTTGCTTTATAAGAGCTCTCTAGCCGTTTATTTTTCAGGCTATATTATTATATTAAATTGCGCTGGTACGTCTGACGCGTCACGATGCGTACGGTCTACTTTTCTAGTCTCCTACTGTCCTTGGCCTGGTACAGCCCAATGCTGTTTTAGATTTTACGCTTGCATAATACTTATATCATGCGTGTAATTTCATTTGACTACAGAGCGAAACAACCAAAAATTAAAATTAATACTTAAGATCTGAGTGAGTTCACGAATGGGAAATATAGTGGGGCGTGGTCCGATTAGAGTCGATGGCGAGGTATCCGTCGTTGGGAGCACTACCTATTGGTAACCCCACCACTGCAAGTTACTGGCGCATTGTACGCCCCGCGCACAAAATTATATTATTTTCCTTATCATCCAAGAGCTCTGTCTTCGCCAATCGCAACTTTCTAACTGTGCTGTTCTCTGCTTCGACACTTTCTCACATCTTGAAACATGCCGATCACTGCGATCCTAGGCTCCCAATGGGGTACGTACAGCCCTGTCATCGCTTAGCACCGGGCATGGAGATCTGCTAACGCGAGCCTGCTTTTCTAGGAGATGAAGGGGTTTGTCTGCCTTCACACGCGATACTGAACCTCTTCTGACGAGCGTGGCCGACAGAAAGGAAAGCTGACCGACATCCTTGCCACCAACGCGCAACTCTGTGCGCGAGCCGCCGTGAGGACGATCCGATCCGCATAGGAAATGTATACTGAGATAGAGATGTAGGGCGGTCATAACGCAGGGCATCAAATTGTGTGAGCCGAGACGGATCTGTGTAGGGGTATTGGAGTGGTCTTGCTGATTCTAGAATAGTACCGGGGGTGTGTCGTACAGGTATGCAGTCACATCGCACCGCCAGACGTGATGGAGAATACTTACTCACCTAGTTTCCACCTTCTTCCTTCTGGTCTCATCAACCCGAATTGGTAATTCATTCGATTCGCTGCTTTGGTGTTGCAGGACTGATATTCATCTTAGCTTGAACTTGATTGGTTCAGGTGTTGTTTTCCATGTGTAAGTCGCCGCGGGCCCCCGGGGAGGAGGTCTAGTTCTATCAATTGGCAAATTGACTTCCTTTAGCCCATCATTCTTCAGAGAGCTCAAAGAACTTGATGAGAAAGGCCTCCCCCGAGTTTACGATCGTATCCTCGTCTCGGACCGGGTTCATATTAACTTGGACCTTCACATTGCTGTCGATGGCCTTGAAGAGGCTGAGCTTGGAGGTGAGTAGTCAGTCTACTTAGTACGCGAAACACCCTCCAGCAGCTTCTGATGTCGTATTCTAGAGCAAAAAATTGGAACCACAGGCCGTGGAATTGGCCCATGTTACAGTACAAAGGCTGCAGTAAGGACTACACCAAAGCGACGATAAAACAGCACTAAAATCTGCTCAACAGCGAACTGGAATCCGATTAGCAGAGGTCTTCAAAACCGAGCTGTTTGAGTCAAAACTTCGGCGACTTGCATCAGGCTTCGCCAAGAGATACGGGGACTTGCTGAAGTAAGAGTCAGCTCATTGCGGATTATGCTGCCCATTCTGACACCATCATCAAATCAGGTATGACGTTGAGGACGAAATCGCCCGTTTTAGAGAATACCGTCCGAAGCTTGCCGGATTCACCGTCGATGCCGTGTCCTTCATGCGGTCTGCGCAAGAGAAGAACATGAACATTCTTGTGGAGGGTGCGAATGTAAGAGCTCTCTTCTTTATAGAAGTACCGCGCTGATCTATTTGGTGGCCTGAGCAAATGTGCCTGCGCAGGGCCATTGCTCGGTCCGCCTAGATAAAGGCCTTGATGCTAGATCTCGACGTTGGATCATATCCGTATGTATTCTAAAGCTCTATCAACCAGATGTCAGGCATTAACAGTGAACAAGATACGTGACAAGTTCTACCACAACCGTGGCAGGCATTATTGGCGGGTTGCACCTTAATCCCCGTGGCCTCACAGAAGTGATCGGGGTGATCAAATCCTGTACGCTCCATCCATTTTCACCCGGCTGAAAACAACATCTTTCCAAGGAGTTTCGGCCGCTAATGGCTTTTTTTACCCATATATTTGCTTGTATATACTAATAAGAAACAGATACGACACGAGTTGGGATGGGCAGTTTCAAAACGGAAGATCTTGGAGAGTTAGTCATTCAGCCTACAAAATGTGTTCGGTTGCTAATTATATGCGGCAGAGATGGCACAAAACTCCAGGAACTCGGCAGAGAATGGGTACTTATTTTTCTCCGAACTTATTTTAATAGTGCTAATTGTGTCAAGGGGACGTCCACTGGTCGACGGCGTCGTTGTGGTTGGTAAGTTGCTCAGATATTCGAGACTTGTGACGAAAAAGTCTTGGCTAATTCAGATAGGCTCGGTACATAAAATCACTTGCCGCAGTCTAATATATTCTTCCCGGTATTATTAACATAGATTTTGCAGATCTTGTGGTCCTTCGATATAGCACAGCTATCAATTACTATACAGCACTTAACCTAACTAAGGTGATTGAATATCTCTGTTTATGTTCGCCCTTTTGGTCGAACAGCGGCTGACTCGCTTCACCTCTAAAGCTGGACGTGCTGGATACATTCGAGACGATTAAGGTCGCTGTGGCGTATAAGGACCCCGAATCCGGTGAGGTTCGTTTACAAATGTCTCCTATAGAGTTGCCAGCAGATACTAACTAATCTTGTAGGAGTTGGCTTCGTACCCTACGGATCCCGATATTCTCGATCGAGCTCATGTGGTTTATCATGAGATGCCGGGATGGAAGAGACCGACCACAAACGTGAAGACCTTTGATGATCTTCCCAAGCAGGCGCAGGACTATGTCGAGGTAAGAACCATATTATTGCTAGGGGGCTGTGTCATTAACTGTTGTTGCTAGTTCATTGAAAGCTTTGTTGGAGTGAAGGTAAAATCACAATTTAGAAGGTTGAAATCAAGATTTTGATATATTAACATTAAACAGGTAAAATGGATTGGTACTGGCCCTGACCGGGAGAGCATGATAGAGAAATAAGGGCCTGATCTCTACGTTCCAGTGTGCTTTCCTGTGTGGCCGACGGGTACATAGCTAGGGTATGTAGATCAGTCAGGGCCCTGGTCTTATACCTGTGGAGGTTTACTGAAAGACTCAGTGAGCTCTATAAAACTAGATGGAGCGTTGAACTCACCACTTCCATGAAGGCAAGTGGCCGAGCTCTGTCTCGACCTCTTGCCGTATATTGGGATACGACCTAATCGAAAGTTGAGAAATGCTCATAGAGTCATAGTAGCAAATCAGTCTCTTTCTTTCGTTTATCTCAAGTGGTTGGTGTTGATGTGTAGGGCACAGAGATGGACCAAGGGCGTCGGTGATTGCTGTCGTAATCGGTCGATATTTTTCTTCCAACAACGGAAGGGTCTCGCGATTGGTGCCCCGGTCTCGGTATGAGTGGACACACGGGGGCCAAGTCTGACAAAGGGAAGCCTGTCACCTGCCTCGATGGCGAATTTGATAGCGTCACTGTTGTACCAGGCATCTGACTTGAAGTTGCGAATGGACTTGTGGGGCAGGCGCTTCCTCCCGAGGCTAATAGTGTCTTCCTCTTCTACCTTGGTTTTGCTGAGAACCTGACAGAACACCAGACCGCAGCAAGCTCCTTGACTGATTTTGTCCAGCGACGGCGAGATAGTGGCTCCTGGGCAAGTCAGCACATCTCACCTGTTGAAGGCCATGCTCGCTCTGCAAGTCCGCTGCTGCTTTCGCATCCAGCACGCGGCATGACATCAGCGCATCGATGAAGCCGGACACGACCAGTAGCTTCACTTGCCGCCGCATTGCATGCAGCACATCGATCGCACGCTGGTCTGTTTTGAGTAACTCAATAGCGTCTTCCAAAACTCCCACCGACAGGTGGCTCCGTTTCCCACGGAGCGGTTAGGATATTGGACAAGGAGACTTCGTCACACAGACTGACCGACCAGATTTTCCGGGATAGAATGATCCCTGGTCCAACTCCTTCGACGAGCCTCCGAAATTTCTTGGGTGCGCTTGACGATGGCATAGAACCTACAAGAGGCGACCACCAATCAACAGGATGAGCAAAGAAAGGATCACAGGTTTCATACACATGCCACTGCTCCTCTAGGGCGTTGAGGAGCACTTCTGTCCCCTCTTTGTAATCTTCAGAGTCAAACTTGCCTTCGATGAACTCCTCCAACCCGCGTTGGTAATATTCTGGGGGATGGACAGTCCCACCGAGGAGCTGGATCTGGTCCTCGACGTCAATATCGGTGCCAAGGTCGCCGCCGAGGTCACAGTCAAGGTCTCAACATCCTCAACGCTGGAGACGTCGGTGTCTGAGTCGCCTCTAGGCTCATCCGACTCGAAAACTTTGTCAATATCCTCAGACATGTCCACATCAACGAGAGACTGCTGACGTCGTGCCATGCGGGAGAGAGACCGTGACGAGGAGGCATGATGTAGCGATGTATCAGATGGGCGAGAGAAGAGAGAGAAAGCCGTAGGCGTCCGCGACGAAATGCAGCAGACACACCGCTATTGAGCTCCAACGCGAGCGCCATATTGGGAGCCTTTTTGGGCTTTGGTCAAGGTGAATGTGGACGATGTGGTTTCCGACGAGAGCCTTTTGGCCCCAAAATGGACCGAGGTACCATAATGTACTTTGTGGTGCTTGGGCACGGCGTGGCGGCGTGCACTAGGGTGTGTGTTTATTACCTGGCGTCTTGGCGTTGAGGTTTCCTTTCAATACTTAATGTTTCTTCCAGGACACACGGCTTATATTTTATAATTTTAAGTTTTTTAATAGAGTATTTTATTTATAAATTATTATTTAATAAGTATATTAATATATTACTTATAAATAAAATTATAAAATTATAAGCCTAAAACTACAGTCCCCTCCTTTTATCTCTTGTTTCTTTGCGCCAGTATACCTCGGCTTGTTCATGCAATGCCAAGCACGCAAAGTCACCCGTCGTGTAGCAAGTACCCCTCCCAAGGCTCGTGTATGGAACTTGTTCGCCGGGGATGCCGGGGTAAAGTGGCATTAATGTACATAAAGGGGACGGACCACACATTTGGAGGTGCGTCACGACAGACGCTTCAGTGGCTCGGCGATGATTACAGGCCAGGCCTGGAGCTGTGCGCTGCTGCATCGGGCACAATAATAATAGTACGGAGTACCAACAACATTGAATTAACATGGGCAGAGAGTCTGGGCCAGGCGCCTGTCCAGTGTGCCATGCCAGTCAGTACACCAGCCACTTTGACTTTGATCAATTGGGTCAATGAATAATGCTGTGGGTGCGTCTGCGGCCCACTTCAATCTAATGCCTGGCTAGTCACACTTGACTGGACATGCAGCACCAGACCACCAGACACATGTGTGTGCAGTCTGCTGTGCTGTGCTGTGCCTGGCCATCGAATAGCCACAGCCATTTTTATCCCGCCTTTGATGCGCCCCCCGTCAACAAGTCTAGAAGGCTCTGTCGCATTCTATCCGCACATGTGCAGCCGCAGCCTGGCCCGAAACGGCCCTCCCGGCATGTCCCTCCAGGTCCCCCAATGACGGCCCCCTCGCCAAGGCGGCGCAGTCGTGTGCAGGCAAGATGCAAGTCCTGTCCGGTGGTCCCTTGCTGCGCCACCATCGACGCTCAAGTGCTGCGTTTCACCGGGCCACCAGCAAGGCGCACTTTGTCCAAGACGTCTTCTGGTGCCCCAGACCCGGCGAACACAGCCCTACGCTACCATCATTGATGTCTAACGTGCTGCCGTCATAGGTTGACGCGAGGCCGATGAGCAAGCCAGTGGCCGCAGCTGCGTAGGACCCCGGCCAGCCAGTGCTTGGCTTACGCTCCCCCACTTCATCCATCGCTTGAGTCTGGTGCGTGCTTTGTTCACGGCTTTCGGCTTGCTGTCAGATGATATTTAAGTCGGCCTTGTCCTCCGGGAGCGCTCCTTCCATTTCCTCTCCCCATCTCACTCACGCATTCCTCTTGCCTCCTCCCATCAAACATTCATCCATCTCGACAACGTCCATACCACCACAAACGTCCCTTACCACACATACAGCCACAATGTCCAACCAGGGTTACTACGGCGGCGGCGGCAGCGGCGGCGGCGGCTATCCCCAGCAGCCCACCTACGGCCAGCAGTCCGGATATGGTGGCCAGGAAGGCTACGGCCAGCAGCAGGGCTACGGCCAGCAGGGCAGCTATCCCCAGCAGGTAAGAAAGAAAGGCAACGCCAAACCTGCGCCGTTCCAACAGTCACGTCGACGGACTCTAACAAATCTCTCATAGCAGCAGTACAGCCAGCAGTCGGGCTACCAAAACCAGTACAACCAACAACAGCCATCTTACGGCCAAGGCCAACCCCAGCAGGGCAACACCAACCAGTACGGCAACCGCGGCCACTCGCCCCAGCCGTCCCAACAATACGGCCAGTCTGGCGGTGCCGCCGCCGACTACGCTGCAGGCGCTCCACAGGGCCAGTATGCCACTGGTCCCACTGGCCCCGGCGGCCCCGGCGGCCCCGAGGGCGCTGTAGGTCCCGACGGTGAGCGCGGTCTCGGCGCCACCCTCGTTGGAGGCGGCGGTGCCGCCTGGGCTGCCCACAAGGCCGGCGGCGGATTCCTGGGCACTGCCGGCGCTGCCATTGCCGGCGCCATCGGCGCGAATGTCCTGGAACACGCCTTCGACAAGAAGAAGAAGAAGAAGCACGGCAGCCGTGGCCTTGGTGATGACTCTGATTAAGCGGGGGCATATGATGGATTTTTCATTTTGTTTCATGCGAAGATTGACGGCAATTTTGTAATATGAGTTTACGGCTTTTTATTGTTCTCTCTGGTAGATACCATGGACGGGATGGAAAGAGGACAACACGATTTATGCACTTGGCCCCAACAAAATTAGTATACGATGCACTCGTCTCTTTTGTGACTGTCGCCGACACCTCTGTCAGTAGTAATCTTTTGTCGTACGCGGAAAGGTCTAAGCGATGAATAGCGCTGCGATTACATGACTTGGAATATTTGTTAGGAGCCGCGCTGTAAGCATTCAAACAGGTCCGGTTGCATGGGTCTTTCACCATGGCGTAGTATTTAACACCACGTGCACCGTCTGGTTTCCCAATTTGTCTGTTGAGGTATATTTGAACACCCATCCATGCACAAGTCATATCTCACAAAAGGCAGGGTCATGGCACACAAAGCTTCATGAGGTCGGTAAACACAGGCCGTATCGAAAGAACAAGAAAAAATAGAGATGAAACCCTAATTGTGATGAACAGAAACCCTCTTCTCCTCGTCATCTTCAATGTGACGCCCCTTGCCACCACTATTCTCATGTAAAACGCCGGCACGGCCAACAGTCTCAACTCCAACGGCCTCCTTGGCATCCCGGTCGTGGCTGACGTCGAATTTGCGGCGCAGATGCTCGGGTCCGAGAAAGGTGAGCAGCAGGGTGTATGCGTAGACGCAGCCCATGAAGATGCAAATGACCTTGCCGTACTCGTAGCGCTTGACGCCCTTTTCCGTGGGCGGCAGCGGGAAGCGCTCCCCGAGACGGGCCTCGATGGTGGACGAGGCAGACGAGACGAGGTTGCCGAGCTGGTAGGCGGTGCCGACGACAAAGGTGCGAAAGGCGCCGGGCGACAGCTCCATGAGGTGGATGGGGATGACGCCCCAGGCGCCCTGGACGCAGAACTGCTGGAAGAAGGCGGCGGCCATGATGGACTTGTCGCCGACGAAGCCGTAGGGGTACAGCAGGGCGCCGCCAACGATGCAGCAGAGCACGATGCTGAAGCGGCGGCCGACCGACTGGCTGCAGAAGCCGACGACGGTGCCGCCCGTCATGGCGCCCAAGTTGGCGACGACCTGCGTCACCGTCACGGCCGTCTTGCTGAAGCCGAGCTGGTTCTCGAGCATGGTCGGGTACAGATCCTGCGAGCCGTGGCTCATAAAGTTAAAGCCGGCCATGAGCAGCACGAGGTAGGTGAGCAGCAGCCAGTGCCGCCGCAGGGCCACCTTGCCCTCGCTGATGAAGACGGCGCCGGCCGACTTGCCGACGTGCCCGGCCTCGTTGCGCATGCGCTCGCGCTCCTGGAACACCTTCGTCTCGGGCAGCATGAAGCGGATGGCAATGAAAATGACGGGGGGGCAGGCGGCGAACCAGTACAGAGGGCGCCAGGTATGAGACGTGGTGTCGACGAGGCCGCGGGCAAAGGCGGCGCAGAGGAGGTAGCCAAAGGCATACTATAGTATGGAGGGGAAGAAAATGTCAGCCCAAGAAACTGAACGATTGTATTTGTGGTTTTGATGATGAGTATTCGACCACCCGGTGGAGTTGAGTGAGCAGCGCCGCAGGGGTCCGAATACTCGACTCCCCCCCACGGCAATAGTGGGGGAGGAATCAATTGATCTTTTAGGAAGGGGCACTGGGGAGGGGGAGGGGGAGGGGATAAAAAACACCACAAGCACCATGGGCAATGATACGTACGCCTTGCTGCAGGATACCGCTCATGAGACCGCGCGCCTCTTCAGGGAGGTCTTCGAGGGCCGTGGCGGCAGCGTTTCCGTACAGACCGCCCATGGCAATGCCAAACAAGGCGCGGCATGCGAGGAACTGGGAGTAAGTCTGGCAGAAACCAGTGCCCTAAGAAAGATACGTTAGCGAAATAGTCACGCATGGGGTTTCGATCACCCGTTTCTACCATCACAGATGATGTCTCTCTCTTTTCTTTCCCTCTTTCCGTTTTCCTCCCGCGTTTGCGCACTTGCGCCTACCCCAGAGACGAGGCCCAAGCCATCTGGAACATGGCTGCGAGCGCCAAGGTGGCCAAGTCGGGTGGCTCCCCGCGCCGCGCGCCCAGCAGCGCCTCCTCGCTTCATCTTCTCATCTCATCTCATCTCATCTCAGTCTTGGCAAGCCCTACCAAGATGGGGACCAATGCAACGATCTGCAACGAGTACAACGTGTTCAACGCCGTCAAGTGTGGGTTTGACAGTTTGCATTGTCTCAGTGGTCTCGATGCACCATGGTGTGTGGCAAGAGGAATTTTTTCCTTGTCTTTCAATTCTCATCGATGAGACGTCCTAATCTCCTGCAAACATGGCCACCGCACGCAAAATGGCAAAGGGTGAAGGGGGTTCATCGTACCAGTTCAAGAACAATAAAGAGTAAGTTGTTCACAATGAATGGCCACCGACGGCCGTATCGATCGCTGGCAATACCAAACAGGATGGATCCCACAGATCGGAACATGAGAACCAGCGTGATGCCCCATGTGATGTCTGTGGCGGTTTTGCCGAATTCTTTCGACAGGTCAGAGACGGTCAGGGAAACCGTAAAGAAGTCAAAGGCATCCCACGTCTGCCCATTTTTGTCAGCACTAACTTGGCCCAAGGCATGCATGGGAAACTTTCAGCT